GACCGAGTCAAGCCCAAGTCCAAGGTAAGGCGAGACCGAGTCAGGTCCAAGTCCAAGGTAAGGCGAGACCGAGTCAAGTCCAAGTCCAAGGTAAGGCGAGATAGAGTCAAGCCCAAGTCCTAGGTAAGGCAAGACGGAGACAAAACCAGGACCATACCAATCTGAGTCCCATACCGCATGGTACTTTCACTTAATAAAGGTTGCAAACCAGAGGCGCTCCTCAAATTGATCTAAAAGATCCACATTCCCGTAAAAACTTGTTCTTCATTCTCGTCTTTTATTGCTCAGTATCAGGGGTTTTCAAAGTGTGAGGCGTGCCTCCCCAGGAGGGCTCCAAACAGTTTCAGGGGAGGCTCAGTGAATGGAAGTGAAACAATTTTACATTACTTATTGCATTAGCTATCAAAAGGAGATCCCACAGAAGAGCCTGCATGTGTGAGAGTTCAGAGATACAGTAGTTTTGGGAACTGTTTCCCCTCATCAGAGTCAGAAACTAATAAATGCCTTAGGACAGAGCTTTTTAAAACTATTTGGTGCAGTCAGAAGTTATGTCAAACAGCAATATTAGGTTATTTTGGCTCAAATGTCGAGTGTCTATGGGGAGGACCCCAGTGTCAGACTTTGAAAACACCTGCTCTACACAATATGTGTATAAAAGTCTCACAAACGTTAACTGCATTAGCTACATCCTTCAGTACGTTACCTAGATCATGAAGTTTGCGCACCGAGCTGGGAGGCAACTGAAGCTAATGCTCTGAAACATACAGTATCTAGATACGCAGCTAATATTGGTTAAATCTCTTTGGGTGACAGGGTTTTGGTTCGGAGACAAGTTTGGTCAGCAAAGACCAGACATGAGGAGGAGGTAAAGTTACTCTGCCAGCAGATCAATCCAACACGGGAATTTAGGAAGATAATTAATTAGAAAACTTGATTGAGGGAACACTAAATGGAAAAAGTACTCCAAACGCCTGCATTCAAGGTGTACTTCTTGTAAAAGTACATGGAGAACATGAACAAACAAAAAAGCCTCTGCCTCCTGCAGCTTTAAGCAAAGTGAAGACCTAGAACCTCTAAACTGAACAGAACTGGACTCACGTTGTTTAACCTGGTCTCATCAATCTGCGTACAAATAACACGACTGACGCTTTCACATTGCGCGCAGTGTGAAGAGCTGCTGCATCCAGAACGATCTCACGAACATGTTCCTTTGACCCGCAGTCTCGGGGCCGAGCGCCGTCGAATCCTCTGCATGTAAAATTGTCTGCGTTCCTTCTTGTTTTTCTAACATTTATAAATCACAGCAATTCGACGCAGCTCAGTAATAAATACCAACAACGCGGCCCTGCTTCCCCTCCTCCCTCTGATCCCTGACTCCTGGCTCTCTCCTCCACCTCCTCCCTCTGATCCCTGACTCCTGGCTCTCTCCTCCACCTCCTCCCTCTGATCCCTGACTCCTGGCTCTCTCCTTCACCTCCTCCCGTCACGCGCAGAGAAAATGAATGTGGCTTTTCCAGCTTGTGTCGTCGCTGGAGGTCAACTCACGAACGACTGCTTTGGTTCTGGACTTTTGCATGTTTTATTTATTTACTCCACCTAAACACCAAAGCATGTTCGTGTATGTAAAAATGTATGTGCAAAGTTTAATGCTTTAAGGGCTTTTGCAGTCGGGTCCAGGAGGACCAGTCTTGGGCGTGGAAAAGACGAGCATCATGTGACCGTCTGTTTCAAACCCAAACCAAACCAAACAGTCATCTGAAGAAGAGAAAGACTCCTAAATGTGCACACATCAGTTACAAAGCTGTTGTGCAGGATTGTCGTTTTATTGCTGTCTGAACTGGACCACCTTTGGTCGGGGACATTTCAGTCCAAATGCCTTTAAGGGAAGTAAAGAAAGCATATCGTCCTTACTTCTTTAGAGCTGTTAGCATTGCTGGTTTCGATTTTGTTCTCGAGAGTTTGTGTCTTATTTAAGATTTAATCCCAACAAGGATTCACTCATATTGTGAATCAGAGATTCACTGAGCTTCTTCCTCATCACAAGGTCCATTTAGTAGCTGTTGCTCACTCGTCATTACATTTTAGAGCACTGTAGGTGCTTGTCATCCATCTTGGTTTAAAAGAAACAAACAGATAAATGGTTAATTTAAGCCAGCCCTTAATAAAGTGAAGTTAAACACCATTTAAAACTGTGCAGAATAAGAACATGAAAACACACTGGAACAGATCCTAAACGACGCCTCGATGCACAAACTCGTTAGCAAAGTTTATCTCAGTGAAATTCCTGGTAACAGCTCGGTAGTTTCTTCATAACCTCGACGGAAATTTTCAGGAAATTAAATGAAAGCAGCTCGGGGCGCTGATGATTTCATGAGGTTATTGTGTAAATGTGGACCGGGACTATAAAGCGCTCCTCGGTTCTTCCCTGAAGCTGCACAGATGGATGTTTGAACTCTTTTCCGATGTTGAAACATAAATCCCTTCCTTCTCTTCCTGCTCCATGTTGGTCTCTCAGCAGACGTTGTTTGTCACAGCAGCGACGGGTACATTCACCGCTTTCTGGATCTTATTTCTCCGTACAGCCCAGATCCAGGCGGGGGGGCGAGCTGAGATTTATACGGAGGGTTGCGTTCGGTGCTCTGGGGAGGCGGACGAGCCCGACATGTTTCAGGCTGCAGAGAAAAAAGAAAAGCTCTGTGACGCCCCTCATAAATACAGGAGGGCTGAGAGGCCTCTGCAGACACCGCTGGACGTCCCAGAGCTCAGGACGCCATTGTTAAATCCCACAACAATGGAATTTAAGTATGGCGACCCGCAGGGGCCACAACTCAGAGAGATGAAGCCGTCCTGCTTCCTGCTCGGGCTTCAAAGCAGAGTGAGGTCAGAGCTGCTGAGAGGTTCAACGGTGAGAACGTTTGGTCCAGAAGGTTCATCAAGTCCTCTTCTCAGCCGTCCACCAAGGACGAGCCTGCAGGAAAACGCTAACACACCGTAACAGCGCCGGCATTTTACAAGTATTTAAGGTGGACTGACCTTTGTGAATTCAGAAAGTAAGAACACGGAGCTGCAGACGAAGTTTAACGTCACAGCTCAGCGTCTACAGTTTTAACCACAACATGTAAAATACAGTTTCCAACAGAGACTCTGACAGCAGTAAGGTGACCAGATTTCTGAAGTGGAAACCGGGGACAGTTTTGGTTTGGTGCTCAGTATGTCGTTAAAAAAATCTCATGTCATTATATATGAAATATATTTCGGTTTTATGATCTGTCAAATATAACTTCTGAATGAAATCAAGTCATTTTGAGGCAGAATCTACCTTTCAGTCAGTAAGTGGAATACTGCATTACATGAGTTTTATTGGCCGTTTAAAGGTATTGTAAGAGGTAAAAAGTACCAGGTGAGATATAATCTCTCAAATATAATCCTCATGAATATAATAAAGTCATTTCAGGGCAGAAATAACTTTTCAGTCAATAGAGGCTGCAGTCACTGTCTGGACGAAGAATACTGCATTACATGAGTTTTATCGGCCGTTTAAAGGTATTTTAGCAGGTAATCAGGACCGGGTTAGTCGGTACGCAGCAAGTTAAGTAATGTAGAGTTAGAAGGATAATAAAATTATTTTATATATAACTCAGCACCAAGTCATGTTAATTATAGGCTGCAACAGGCTTCTGTTAATCACGTAACAAGAGTCATGCTTGGTTACGCTACAAACTGCAAACACTTATTTAGCCACAATTGTGATTATTCCGAAGTTTCCCGCAGACGGCAATCGGTTTTCGGCATGACACCTGTCTGCTCTGCTGTCCAGTCTTTCTGGCCACGTAGAATCTGATTTGAGGTCTGTTAACATCTTATACAGTCTGTGATTAACACAAAACAGGGACATTTCCAGGGACAGGCCACCAAAACCGGGGACTGTCCCCGGAAAACGTCTGGTTACTCTAGACAGCAGCCATGTTGCTGAAGAATCTTTAGGACTTTCCCGCTACAGGATGTTAACAACCCCTGAGTTAGGACTTCAGGTAGTCAGGTCCAAGTTATCTAGAAACCAGCAGAGACTCAATAAAGCTGCTGCTCCAGTGTGCTCCCTGTGGAACTACTTCTTGTGTAATGTGTCTGGCCGCTTGTACCGATTCATTTTAAAACCATTAAAACCAAACCAGGCTAGCTGTGGCCCCTCGTTTCCGGTCTTTATGCTAAGCTAAGCTAACCAGCGGCTGGATGCAGCTTCATGCCCACTGAACAGACAAGAGAGTGGAGTTATTTCCTTCATTTACTGTAAATCCACGGTTTGTTCCCGTAATTTAATGTTTGGCCTACAGAATATTTCCTCCAGTCACTGTAAAGGGACAGAGGATTTGTTTTTGGAGATATTGTCTGAGACCAAACTCTCACTGTTCCCCCGACAGGAGGAGACTTTAAAAACACAGTTTAACTTCTGAGCTCAGAGAAACAAGGCAGCAGGTAATTCTTTAAAACGCAGCACAAGGACACATTTCTCTCACCTTGTTAGTCATTTCTTATGAACAAGAAGTTTTACCACCCAAAATGTCAGACTGCTCCTTTAATCCAGAGCAGCATTGTTAACAGACTCAGTCCTCAGGCTGCTCTGCAGGAACTTCATGTGAAGCTCTGAGCTTCATTTACAGGCGAGTGCTGCCACCTGCTGGATCAGCTGAGCGCCCACAATCCTGCTGAAATACAGATGTAGATCACTGCTTTCTTTTTACCTCTCATATATTATGATTGTGTTATAGTATTGTGTGTTTAACGTACGCAGCTCGTGTACTGTAAGTATTACTAATTCTTCTTGGTGATATTTCCCAGACGAGCTGCTGTCAGTCAGACGTGTGACAGCGGTGAGCTTTCTTTTAAAAGGACACGCCATGTGATCACCAGACTCGGGTTCTCCGGGACCACAGAGACCTGGCTCAGGTCTAACCAGGTGGATCTCCATGGTAACCCGTTTACATAAAACACAACTCGTCCGCTTTTGAATAATTCCAAAGTTTCTTTAATTGAGGGGACAGAGTGGCGAGCTACAAAGAGTTTAAGGCACTTTAACCTCGAGTCACAGGAAGGTTACAGACATCGTGATGTTCTCAGTCAGACAGGCGGCTGCAGCGAGAGTGAAGGTTAGTTAACGTTAGCGCTGCTCTGTGATTGGCTGGCTGCTCTTCATCTACGAGTAACATTCAGGACAGTTTCACACGCAGTAAACCAGACAGCAGTTAATCTACTTCTCTCCAGAGAATCAGTCTCATTCAGGAGGGAACTAACGGGTCAGCGTGTGGAGGCACGCCGCCTGCAGGACGGAGCTGCTCCCACCGCCGTTTACATTTCGCCCCGATTACCGATCCCCTCTGTTCACACTCACACCTCGCTCAGAGTTTGGCCTTGGCCTGGAAGAAGCTCATGACGGCGTTGAAACACTCGTCCGACGTCCAGCGCTCCATCAGACGCTCCACCTCGGCGTCGTTCACCGCGTGGAGACGCTCCCTGTCCACCGAGCGCATCAGCTGTTTAGAGAGCGCCAGAGACTGAGAGAGAGAGAGAGAGACACTTATTTAGCTTTTCTCCACAGTGATCATCCAACAGGCCGCAGAGGTTCTGGTCTGGACCAGCTAGTGGTTCAGAGTCCTGCGCTCTGTTGATGGTTGTTCGTCTGGATTTCCTCTAAAACTCTCTCCTGATCTGAACTGTGGAAGGTTTGCACAGCAGCAAACTGAAAGAGAAGAAGAAGTTTCTGTAGAGGAGGTGCATACCGTAAAACTCTGATTAACAGCCCGGGCTTTTATTTGCTAAAATCCCTGAGCTGACCCTGACGGGCGTCCCAGGACTGAAACAGGCAACTATGAAACACTTTATTTACTTAAAACAGAATATTTTTATTAACGGGTTTTAAGAGTTTTGATACATCCAGAGAACTTCTATAAAAACCAGACCAGGCTTCTAATGGAGACCTTATTTGTCTAAATGTGTTCCCACAGCAGTGGCCTGTACTACGAAGGGAGTTCAACTTACTCAGAGTTAACTCAGGGTAACAAACTCTGACCGCCCACACTGGAGTTACACTACGACGGTGGATGTTGGTTAGTTGAGTCCGTGTTAACTTAATCAGAGGTGGTGCACGCTCCCCTGAAAGGGGCGTGTTCGGCCGAGTTTTTTTGCTCCGTATTTCTCCAGAGGAACGCACGGTGTTAGTTTCAGGTAATTATGAATGTAAAGACACGTTAGCGGCTAAATCTAATATCGTGGCGGCCGACAGAGCCAGCGATGCTCGTTGGCACATTGTTCTTGTTGTAGTTCAAATCTCTATTCTGTATTTTACGGGCTCTTCTTTTACGTGTAATATGATTCAGATGTAAAAGGTACAGCTGCACGTAAAAAAGGAGCCAGCGGAGAGGGGGAATAATCCAAGACAGAATTTAATTTCCAAGATTAATCTAAAAAAACCTTTTCTGGCATTATAGTCAAACATTTATGAGAGGAACTTCACTTTGCAAGGCTGCAACATCTCACACACGTCTGCAGTGTGTTATGCATGCACTGGAAAGTTATATTAAACTTAATATACTTAAATACTCACAAGTTTAACCCACAATCACTATCATTCACCTTGAATCGGCCATATTCAGAAGAAAACAGAGTGATTTTCAATGTTTATGACATTAATTGCAGGGAATTTCTGATTTTTCTTCATGTAAATTTCACACTTTCATCTAGGATTTTTTTTCTGTTATTAACCCCGGCTCACTATTTTTTGGACACGTAAAATAATCTATCTAAATATGTGAAAACACTTTGGAAAATTCAATTATAGCCTACAGATGGGCTCCATCTAAGAAACTATCCCGTTAATTAATTAAGATTCCTGTCTAAAATCACCAGGCTGCAGGGCTCGCTGTCTGAACGTGATGCTGTTGTGTTCAGAACTTCATTCCAACCGCAGAGGAACAAATCAGCATGAAATCTAAACATATTTTATGAAGCGGTGTGTATAATTATCCTATTAATCAAAGTTTTACGGTGAGAGAAAATGCACCACGACCTGTTCCTCAAAGTGAACAAAGCAGGAGCGCTAAAATACAGAGAGTGTGTGTTTACGTTGGGGGGCAGCTTGGCGTAGGCCTTCAGTCTGGTCCAAACCTCCGACTGGAAGCTGCTGTCAGGGAAAACCTCGGTGACCAGACCGAGTTCACAGGCCTGGACCGCCGTCAGCTTCTTGTTGAACAGCAGCATCTCACTGGCCTAAAGGGAGGGGGGGGCAGTTTATTACTACAACAACAACAACAAGCTGTTTGTGGATAACCACAAACAGAGTTGGTGAATAAACGCTGAGGTGTATGAAGCGCTGATGATGAGGAGGCTGAGACCTTCCTCACATGAAACTAACAGAACAGTCTGAGCTTTTAAAGAAGTCAGCTGCGTCCTCTTCTTCTTCTGTGTGTACCTTGGCGAGGCCCATTATTTTGGGGAAGGTGTAGGAGGAGCAGCCCTCGGCGCTCTGACCCAGCTGGCTGAAGGGAGTCTGGAAGGTGGCCTGTGGGGGGGGGGAGAGAGACTGGTTCATGAGGTGAACCTGTTTCTGACGTCAGCGTCTGGTGTGTGCGTGCGTGTGCGTACCCTCTCTGTAGCGTAGACCAGGTCGAACAGTCCCAACACTGTGACTGGGATCCCCACAGCCGGTCCGTTCACCACGGCGACCAGCGGCTTCGGGAAGTCGATGTAGGCCTTCACGTACTCCCTGCAGATGAAGGAGAGAGAGTCCTGAACCTGAACCCAAACTGAGACACTACAGGACGCTCAGGCGTCCGCGAGTCCTGCGTTAAGTGAACGCATCATAAATCAGCTGATGGGAGTTCATTCATTTAAAAAGACGTGCTGACTGAGGAAGGACACGCGTCATGACGTCACAGCTCCCGTTTCCATTCAGGATGCTGTTAACAACCACAGCCAGCGTTCCCCCGGCAGGATGTAGGTAACAATACGCAGGTACGTATATATAGTTTTATGTGAAGACAGTTACAGAGAATCTAAATAACACCTCAAAATTCTGGAAAGTAATTAAATTTATGTCAGGTACACATGTTGCTTCAAGCCTCCCTGAACACATTCTGGTTGGCTCAGATGAAATAAAGGATAAAGCTGCTACGGTCAGTCAGTTAAACAAACACTTTATCTGTGCTGGGTCTGCATTTGACAGCTCAAATGTAAATGCACCTGTCCCATGTTCTGTCACCACTGCAACTGATAGAAATCTGGATTTGTTTAATCTTAAAACTATTTCAGTTGCTCAAGTTTGTAAAGCTCTGAAAGGCGTTGACCACAAAAAATCTGCAGGTCCCGACAATCTGGATCCTTATCTCCTAAAGGTGGCGGCAGATGTTATTGCTGAGTCTCTTACTCACATTTTTAATTTGAGTCTTGTGTCCAATTCAATACCCCAAATCTGGAAAACTACCGTCCCATCTCCAAACTCTCAATCCTGGCTAAGATCCTTGAATCCCGGGTAAATTTACAGTTAACAGTTCTTACTTGATAATAATATTTTAAACAGTTTTCAATCTGGTTTTAGAACGGGCCACCGTACCATTACTGCTGCTATGGTGGTAATAATAATAATCTTATTGGTGCCTTAGACAGAAAACAGCCTTATTTGGAGATCTATCCAAGGTGTTCGATTCTGTGGATCATGAATTGTTGCTGAATAAACTTAGGGATGCTGGTTTCTGTCCTAATGCTGTTAAATGGTTTGAAACTATTTTGTAGATCGGACTCAGTGTGTCTATACAGAAGGCCACAAATCTGAGTTAGAGTTTATCTGAAGGGGTCCCCCAGGGGTCTGTTTTGGGACCTATTCTGTTCTCTATTTTTATAAATGATTTAGGTAAGGACGTCCAAGCAAAAATACACTTCTATGCTGATGACACTGTCATTTATACTCATGCTCCTTCCATAGCACAGGCTGTGCAAGAGCTTCAGACTGCATTTCAGTCATTACAAACTGCTCTGCTCAATTTAAAATTGGTTTTAAATCCTAAAAAGGTCGCCTACAGTTGCTTGATCATCTTTGCATTTTTATGTCTGATGGTAAATTCATTGAAAGGGTACCCACATACAAGTACTTGGGTATATGAATAGATGACAAACTTTTATTTAATGTACATATTGCTAATCTAGTTAGGAAGCTCAAAGTGAAGATTGGCTTTTATTTTAGAAATAAATCTAGCTTTACTGTCAATGCCAAAAAAATAAAAAATAAAAATTCTTGTGGAAACTAGTTTTCTGTCTGTGATTGATTATGGTGACATATTATATATGCACGCAGCCTCCTCCATCTTACAGAGCCTTGATTCAGTGTATCATGCATCTCTACGCTTTATTACAAATGCAAAGTCCCTCACTCACCATTGCATTCTTTATGATCTGGTAGGTTGGACGTCGCTGATGTAGTGAACAACAGTGTGGATTTGTGCATTTTACATGGAATAAATGTGGAGCTACCCTAAATTCCTTTCTCCTCCCCAGAGAAGAAGGGGAGGGGTCAAAGTTGCTTTCTCTAAGTGCTATCCCGACCATAAATCTGGCACCCTTTTGATTCCGAAGCTGATAACGCGGGGCCTGACTGTTAAACTGACAAAAGGGACACGAGCCAGCCATTAGCATTTCCCTAAACAGCCTATCAAAACTGGCCCCCCACACACGTTTCCGTGGCAACTGACCTTATTCTTTGTTTTATTACCACATCAAAAGGATACTCCTTGTCTCACCTAAGTGTGACATGTTCCAGACACTGAACTTTGGATGACAAAGGACTGCAGTCTCCAAAAGACTCAAAGCATCTAATTAAATTTAATTAAATCTTTAGTTACCTGATTACGTTTGCCTCTATTTGAGTAGTTATGTTAACTGTTGTTGCTATCTGTTGTTGATATTAGTGCTGAAAAGAAGTTACTTGTGCAGTGTTTTTATTTTCAGCAAGACACTCCATCTAATGTAATCAATGCTTGTTCATAATACTTTCTTACAAAATCCCTTTAGAAATGATGACAAAGAAATGTCTTACTATACTCTTAATCACCAGCTTGAATTTAAGGATGAATCAACAATATTCCCCGGTTCCTAAGGAGAGACGATCTTTGATTTAATCCAAGCTTTCCTCATGTAACCTGAGCTCCCCCAAGTGGACGAAATAAGTATTACATGCCCTCGTCGGAAATGCCGTTAAATGTATAAATATCCTGACCAATAATGTGACAATTGTTTCCTGTTACCAAATGCCTAGAACAGTACAACCGTTCAACCATTGAGGTTCGATTGTGGAAAATATTTGATTATAATACGTGCAAATAGATTTCTTTTCTTTAGACATTAAGTTTAGAAAGGCAGTCCCTTGGGAAACCTGAGACACCCCCTGGGGAACCACGCCCCAGGCAACAAAAGAGCGACACGCGGCCTGCTCGCGCTCTTCCCTCCCTCTTCTCCCCTCTCTTCGCTTCGCTGTTGGCTCTTCCACCCTGCTCAGCCCTCTGGACACTTCGGCAGGCGCAGCGTGCCTCGCCAGGCAACACGCCCAGACTCGGCCATCGAAACAAACAGGCCTTTGTTCGCTTGAAGCTACACACCTGAAGTGCCGAGACATCGATCTGCCTTCAGTTTGTTTAATTTTCTTTATTTCTTTTGTTTGTTAAAGTTATCAGTCCGTTAAGTTACACTGGACTAATTCAGGACGACCAAGTTCCATTTTAAGCCTTTTTCGTCAAGCCAACTTCACCGAGGTCAGACCAAGCCACGTGGTCTCGCCAGCTACAACGAAGGAAACTTGAAAACAGCCGAATTGCCAGACGGAGGAGACGTTTTCAATCAGACACGGAGAACCCCGGAGAATCCCTAGCAAAAAGCCAGGATCGGCAGCTAGCGTGGGACCAGCAACAGGCCAAAAGCAGGCTGTCGACAAGCAGTAAGACTAAACACATGTTCTGTGATCAGATGTCCATTTTAACTCCTAAAATCACATTAGTTTACTTTCATTAGCTCTTCTATGCCGTTTGAGTCAAATGCTTCCCACAACCGAACCTCCAGGCTCATTGTTCAGCAAATGTTTGTTCCCTGTATCCAACCATCTTTTATCACCTTAGTTAGAGAATAAATTCACTGTAATATAATCAAGAGCTGTGTGTGTTGCCTATTTCTAGTTCCTGCCAAGAGAATTGACCCTTTGAGACTGACTGATTTAAGATAATTGAGCAATTATTAACTAAATGATCACTAGTAATAATTGTATAATTATTCAAAACTACCTAGAGGTCCGGAGACTCTAGGATTATAACAACTCCAGTGGTGCCCTTAACGAGGAAATTCTGAATTCATGAATAATAATTCATAATTGGGTATCAATTCTCATAAATTTATTAAAATGCATAACTAATAAATTTAGGTCCACTACACTGACCACCCGCAGAAAACAGCACTAGTATAATTTTATATATAAAACCATGCTAGGTAAACTTCCAGCTAACCTCTGAACCCTTCTCTGTATCAATTCTGCTAGTTACCAGCTACACTCCAAGTGGTTGCTTTTTAATGTACCCAGGGTTTTGGGGAAAACTGCATTTTCATACTTTGCACCCTGGGCATGGAATAATTTGCTAAAAGATCTTAAAACTAGAAACGTGTATATCAATTGATAAATTTAAGAGCATCATAAAGAATGTGGTGAAGGAGAGATGTGATTGTTTTTCTTGAAAGGCCATTTTGTATGAATAGATGTGTTTTTTGTGTTGTTTTCTTTGGTTGTTTGTTTTTGTGAATTTTGTCATGATTGTACGAAGCATTTTAATATGTTGTGTTTATGTATGGCTGCTACCTCGGCCAGGTCTCTCTTGTAAAAGAGATTTTTTTATCTCAATGAGACTTCCTGGTAAAATAAAGGTAAAATTAAATTAAATTAAAAATCGCCACGGCAAGAGACCTCGGTAGTACAGGTTATTCGGGACACCTGAAGTTACCTGGATAAGCCGGTTACCTCGCTTCGTAGTACAGACCACAGGTGTCAGCAGGGACAGAGGGGTCCGTCTGCATCATCCTGGTCCTGGTGTTCGTACATGAGCCACTTTCTAAAACCATCAACCAATCAGTGCTCACCTGAGCAGCTCTCCCCCACGTTTGGCGCTCTCCTCCACCCCTCCCTCGGGGATCTTGGTGAAGTTGCTCAGGTCGTTTCCACTGGAGTAAAAATCTCCAGCTCCTGCAGAGGAGAGAGAGAATTATCAGTAATCCGTCAGCGTGACCCTGAGAAGCATTAAAGTTTCAGTTCAGAGCTGCAGGAACGTTTACTGATGTTCACTTAAACATTCAGGAGCTCAGAAACAGAAGTCAACCGCTGCAATCAACGTAGATTACGCATTGTTCCTAAATTCTTGTTGACTCAATAATAAACGGCCATTTCAGAGTCGGATCTGTTTGTGTTTCATGACTGCGCTGCAGGTCAGCGACACCCGACGTCACACTCAGAGATGCAAACAACATGGTTGGAAACTTTGCTTTGAACCGCGAACACTTTTGTATTGAAGCACCTGCTAAAGCAGCAGCGTGAAACTTAGCCTGTAGAAAGAAACTCCGGCAGCCGCTGCCAGTGAAGCGTCCACCCGGCAGGAGAGAGTGGCGTTAAGCAACGTTTGTGCTTCATAAAAGTGCTGAATACTTCTTCAAAACAGAAACATTAGTCGAGACACTTGCTAATTCTTTATGCTTTTATGCATAAATCATACTGCTGCTGTTTTATTATTTTTTATAGCCTGTAGGATGCAGCATCCTCTGGCCTGAGAGGCTGCAGTGTTTTCACTTTGGCTGCTTGTTGACTCCTCAGGTTCATTATTGTTCCAGTAAAGTGGATTCATTTCTAAAACGCGCTGCTGAACAGGTTTCCCGTCACTTTTAAGGACGGGCTGCGACGGTTGAAAGTAACTGTAAGAAACCCGTCTATTAGGCGGCCGCTACCCCGCCCCCAACGCCGTCATCCATCCTGATGTTTTACTGCAGACCACGCCCAGCCCTACGACACAGACGGCCAATCAGCGCTCTGCGTGTGTGTGTGTGTACCAGTGAAAACAGTGAGGACCGAGTCGTCTTTAGCCGCCTGCTGCAGAGCTGCCATGATCTCAGAGTACATCTGTGAGAGAAGAGGAAGCAGCGTGAAAACACAAAACCAGAAACTGGGAGACAGAGAGAGTCTGTCGAGGACGTTATACCGAACAACAGGTTTGAAACACACACCTCAGTAGTGATGGCGTTCTTCTTGGCCGGTCGGTTCAGTTTGATGGTGGTGATGCCGTCCTCCGTGGTGACCAATAGCGTCTCGTACGTCGTCCCGCTCCCAGCGGGCTGAGCTGCCACCTGGGCGGAGCTTCCACCTTCTGCCGCCACCAGGGAGCCAATCAGGTCGCAGTACTGCTGCCTGGCTTCATCCTGAGCGACACAAAGACGTGAGCATCAATAAAGGAATCATTTGTTATTTAACTGCTGAGCGACTTTAATACCGGTGCAGCTGCTCACTTTATTTGAAAGCTTTTGTTACTTTACAGACAAAATAGATTAAGATGCGTTCTTATGATTTAGATAAATGATTATTGATCTGCCAGCAGAATATAAGGTCATTAAAATGAGCTGCACCATTAAACTGATGATGAACACATGAATCCATCTATAATTATAATCCATATATACACAGATCCTGCAGCAGGAGTACCTGTGGTACGGAGCCCAGAGATTTCCACGCCTCCCATTTAACCTTGTTGACAAAGTCCAGCATGCCTGGTTTGGGGGTGTTGCAGGGACCCTGAGTGGCCTGCAGGAGGAGGAGGAGGAGGAGGAGGAGGAGGAGGAGGAGGAGGAGGAGGGTTACATGTGTAATTAATATACAACATACTGCAGACAGAGTCAAAGCAGATCTGCTGTTAACAGAATGAACCCAACGTTCCAGTAAGACGTGATACTGTGGGAACATTCAGTCCTACATGTGTAACAGTGTCACAGCGGCCTTTCAGCAGACACGTCCATCAGTTAGAGACACGTTTCAGCTTTTACTGACGAACCTTTGCAGCATTTGGATGTGGAAGCAGAAACCCTTTGTTCAACATGTCAGATCTGTGGGAGACATTCTGAATGTGAGCAGAAGAGCTGCTGAAACTCAGGAGCTGTTCTTCTTATTTAGGGGTTGTACCAGAACAGGTTTCCATGGTTTCAGAAACAAGTTAAAGAAACAGAGCAGAGCACAAACATGTGGAACACCTCCCACCTGTTTGAAGAGAGCGTAGATTTTCAGCTTGACCTCGTTGCCCGGGTCGTTCTTCAGCGCCGACAGTTTGCTCTTGGCCTCCTCGAACTGCTGCACCGTCGCACCTGCACGCACAGAACGCCATCAGCGAGAACGTAACAGGACGCTGCTGAAGCTCTGAGCTCGGAGAATTCATCCAAATGATGAAGAATAACGATGCACAGAGAAGCCTTGTTAGTCTTTAAACCTGGAGCTGCTGGGAGAGTTGATGTGTTAAACCCTTCCTCTTCAGTCGGCTGTTTTATGGACATTATTTATTTTATCTAATCGTCTTCATGTTTTTAAAGGTTTTACTCCCGCTGTTGTTTCGGTTCTCGTCTCTGACATGTTTCTATATTTTACATGTTCGTGGTTTTTATTTCTCAAACTGTTTTACTGCGTGCTCGTCAGCTCGTCTCTCACTGACCCGCGGCCGGTGAAGAAAGTTCGGCTGGTCTGAGTGAGAAGTCAGAAGCTTTAAAGCGACACGTCCTCACGGTGAGAAGCTGCGACCGGACGAACCTTCTGCCACGTTCTGATTCATAAAGAACCGATTATCGATCGATCGATTGTCAGTCGGCCGATCGACCAACGCTTTCAGCCTTCAAACTGCGGCTCGGTCACATGACCCCGACAGAGTGAAAGGTTTCTGCCGCGGCAGACTCACCCGTCATGGGAGAGGCTGTGGTGTGGAACTTCAGACCGGGAACGACGGCGGAGAACCGGACCAGGCTGGAGACACAGAGGAGAAAACATTCAGAGCATCAGATCATCTGTTTATCAGCTGGCGTGGGGACAAGATTCTGAGCCACTAAGGCGGCCTCCTCGCCGTCTGCCTCCGGTCGACTCCTTCTCTATTTCAGAGCTGTTCATACTGTCATGTTGTATAAACTGTACACCAAAGCCACCTACCTCATAACACCTGCACAATAATACTTCCTGCTTCCTTTGCTCTGTGTATCATGTACATAATAATAATTCCCTCCCTGCACTGTTGTTGTTCACAGTGTGTCTACTTGTGTTCTCTACACTGCAGCCTGTCAGTCAGCACATCGGGAGCTTTGTCCAATCCAGAGTCACGTTCCTCATCTGTGCAATAAAGCTGCTTGTGATTGTGGTGAATGAACCTCGGCCCGGTGACCCTCCTCTGTGGATCTGGACCAGAGGTCACAGCTGGCTGCTGTTCTGCTGTCCTATGAAGAAGCAGCTGCTCCTCTAAACCTTCAGACTGATGCTGCCTTCTGATCTCCTGATGCATTCAGCAGCTGCTGCTAACTCACATTAACCTTCTGCTGACTCGGAGAACTAACAGCAACATCCTCACCTTCTTCTTCTCACCAAACGCCAGGGAGCGGAGAGCTTCAGGGCGACGGGGGCCATTTAAACCCGGAGACGGATTCCAAGGTCCGGCAGGACGGAGAGAGCTGGGGGACAGCTAACTAGCTTAGCCACCGCAGGCTAACAGCAGCTGGCCCCGCCCACTCTGTGCTCCTCCGCTCCTCCATTGGCTGCTGAAGGGACTGTAATCTGATCTGTCCAATGAGCTGCGTCTCTTTCTTCTTCGTCTTTTTCTTAGACTTATATAGAGACAGACGCGCCACCGGCCGCTGCCGCCTGCTGGTTTCCGGTTTGACTATCAATTTTTTCTATTTTAAAGTTCAAGTTTATTTCTATAGCGCATTTAAAAACAACACTAGTTGACCAAAGTGCTTTCCACAATAGACAACAAATATACATGACAACAGTAGAAAAAGTAAAAAATAAAATAAATGTCACTACTCAACTCTGTTTGAAGGCCAGTGAATAAAGATGGGTCTTTAGGATTAGAAAGTGTCAGGAGTTTGGGCATTTCTTATTTCAACAGGTAAAGTGTTCCAAAGATTAGGAGCGGCTACTGAGAAGGCTCGGCCACCTTTAGTTTTTAACCTGCATCTGGGGACATCGAGGAGCATCTGACTGGATGACCGGAGTGTGGACATGTAAAAGTTCTGATAAATAAGAAGGTGCCAACCCATTTAAAATTTTAAAACAAGCAATAAAATCTTAAAATCAATCCTAAAGCGGACAGGAAGCCAGTGGAGCGAGGCTAAAACAGGGGTAATGTTATCACGCTTTTTAGTTCCTGTTGGGCTGCTGCGTTCTGGACTGACTGTAACCGATGGAGAGACGACTGATCCGACCGAGAGACGAGACTGATCCGTAGGTAGGGCTTGACTTTGGCCAACAGTCTCAGCTGAAAGAAACTGGATTTTACTACAGATCTAATCTGTTTTTCAAACTTAAAAGCACTGTCAAAGATCACAACTAGATTCTTAAATGGACGACTAAATGTTCCTAAAGTACCAAGAACATCTATACAAGCACTTAAATCCCCAGCTCGACTGAACACAACAACTTCAGTCTTACTTTCATTCAGACAGAGAAAGTTCTGATTCAACCATATTTTAAGATCTCTCAGGCAGTTGAGCAAGGACTGAGTTGCAGCTTTGTCGTTAGACTTTACAGGTAATAGATTTGTATGTCGTCTGCAAAGAAATGAAAGGAAGGAAATGGATGGCAGCATGTACAGTGAAAAAAGCATGGGGCCCAATATGGACCCTTGGGGACCCCACAAGAAAAACAGATATCTATTCTATCCGCCAGATATGATTAAGTAAATTAACACTATTACTTCTATTCAGAGTTTTTTCTGTATTTAGCAGGACAGGCAGCCAATGACAGGGACTGTCCCTGACGTCTGGTCACCCTATGATATGTGATGTAGGCTGTGAAAGGTATTCTGCAGATCACACACTGTAGAGAAACAGGTAGAGAGAGTAAAGTCACATATTTTAATAATTTGAACCAATAAATATGAATAACAAACAAACAATATATGATTAAATTATATTACTCTATTTGAAGCTTTTTATATTTGTCTCTCTGTCACACACACAAAAGCTTTTCATGAACTAAAAGCCCTGAAAGAGCTTCTTTCTCGTGCTCCCTTTCTGCAGTTCAAGAGAGGTGAGTTTGGCGACGTGGTGCAGCCTGATCCTGAGAAACAGACACAACCAATGACGACAAGTCAGAACGATGGTTGTCGATGCCAAACTGTGTCTCCTCAGTGTGTCCCCGAGCAGAAAAACTCCCTCCGTTCCAGTCTCCTCCCGGACGATGTGTGTGACTGTCGACCCCTTAGGAGCTTGCACTGTTGAAGCTCGGCGCATCACCGTCTCTGCGGTTCTCAGCACCTTATCATAATAATAATAATAAAAACAGAATACATTATATTTATATAGCGCTTTACACAGTGCTCAAAGACACTGTTCCTAGCTAGCTGGCTACGATTTCAGTACCGTAATATCAAAGTTCCTCTATATATATGTCTATGCCTGCTCCCGCCTTGCTCCCGCGAGGTTTTAATGTCATGTGACATGGTGACGTTTTGCAGCGCCGGAGAAAGTCGGACACAATTTCTAACCAGCATGCCTTGTTTTAAGTCCAGCATGCATCACGTTAAGTCAGCGCTGCGCAGCGCCGCGTGAAGTCAAACGCACCTATTACTTCCTTTTTGTTTTTTGTTTATTGAGGTGAAGATTTACAACAGTATCTGGCACAGATCACCAAATATCAGTGCTAACAGGAAACGGAGCACATACACTTTAGGAAGAAGAAAATAAATTAAAAGAGAAGAAAATATGTACGTAATAGTGCAAACAAACAAAAAAAAGACAGGCTAAAGAAACAGTAGTAAAACAGTTATGGGGCTTCAGATAATTTTAAGGCATCACTAAAATCAAGAGGTTTAGCTGTTTTCTTCTTCATGAACAACAGGGACTTGTAGTATAATACAAATTCTTTCTTGAGGACAGTAAAAAGAGGCTGTGTTTTCAAACATTTACATTTGTGGATGAAAAATTTACCCGAGATAATTAAAGTGTTTAAAAGCAGTTCATAATTTTTGTCCTTCATTATAATTCCAAATGTGATGTTATCGCTAGTGAACCTGGAGAGAGACCTGGAGATCCAGCCAATCATACATGTCACACCAGAATGTGTTCCTGTAAGGACAGAAGGAAACCAAATGATCCGTGGTCTCCATGTCCTCATCACAGAATATACAGTTAGTTGGATCAATGTTAAATCTATGTGAGAGGAGATCTCTTAATGTGTCATTAAATACTTTGAAGTGAAGCTCTTTAGCTTTTGGTGATAAAGGTAACTTTAAGAAGTCTGTGCGTAGTTTCTTCAGAGAAGAATGAAAATAAGAGAGGCAGCATTTCGGCTGCAAGTCAGAGTGAAGAGATCACAGAACACTTTGTTTCTACAGAACTGGTGACCAGCAATCATCAGTGAAGGAAGAAGACGGGGGTTGAACATATGAGATTAATTTTTTTTTGAGATGCATTTTTTGCCATCAAAAGGAAGGCAGATGGGATGCTTTGGATAACCGTGTCATAATGTTTACAATCACACTGGATATTAAGTTTTGTACCGAAATCTTCAAAAGATAAAACATTTCCATAGTTGTCCAGTAAATGTGTGACAGATAAATATTGTTTTCCATCCATTCGTTGAGATACAGGGACTTATTTCTAAAGAGAATGAATCTGCGGTTCCAGGTGGGTATGTTATGGGGAGTAAAATTGTGTTTGTACAGGAGTTTCCATTATAACAGAACTTGTGAATGAAACGCAGACAGTTTTATAGAAAGTTTTGGAACATCAAAATCACAGCGGAAAAAACAATTCCCTGGACACACAATACCAGAAACTTCCACTGTTTGCTAGAAGGCATCTTAACCATTTAATCCTTAAGGTTCCATTTATACACTCAAAGTCTGTGGCTTGTAGCCCACCATCTTCATAGTCTTTCACTATAGTCGCTTTTTTCAGATAATGGGGTTTTCTTTTCCAGATGTAGTCAAAGTTTAATGTATTGATGGTTTTGACAGCTTTGCTGGGGATGGACAGAGAGTAGGCTGGATAAATGCATCTTGAAAAACTTTCCATTTTGGTAATATAAATCTGACCAAACAGAGAAAGATCTCTATTTAACCATCTGTCTAGTCTTGCTTTACATTCATCCAATTTGTTCCATACATTTAAAGATTCACTTAACTTAATATCTTTGGTTATATGTATGCCCAAGTATTTCACTGCAGTTTTAATAGGGATACCATATGCTGCCTCAAGGTGGCAGTCATGTATAGACAACAGCTCACACTTTTTCAGGTTCACTTGTAACCCGGATGTCTTTGAGAATGAGTCTATAGTTTCAGTGTTCTTTGGGACCTGCTCAACATTTTTAAGAAACAGAGTGGTGTCGTCAGCCAGTTGATTTATAACTATTCGGCTATCAAAGACATTTAACTGCTCGATATCTGAATTTTTGAAGAGGATTGACAACATTTCAGCTGTTATTATGAAGAGTGAGGATGAGACGTTGCAGCCTTGTTTTATACCTCTGATATTGAAGCGAGGCGTGGTGCTACCTGGGAGAGATATTGAGCTGTTGGTGTCATAATAAAAACATTTTATAGTGTTTATGAATTTTTCCCCCAAACCACAGAGTTCCAGAGCCTTAAAAATAAAGGGGTGTTCTGTCGTGTCAAACGCCTTATTAAAAATCCATAAAGAGAATAAAGCCGTCGTCCTTTATATGCTCATTATATTCAAGTAAATCAAGGACAAGGCGAACATTATTGTGTATTGATCCACCTCTCATAAATCCTGATTGGGTGTCACTTATTATTTGAGGAAGACCCTTTTGAAGACGATTTGAAGATATGTGTGTTAGTAATTTATAATCATTTTAAATAGTGTAATCGGTCTCCAGTTGTCCAAGAATTTGGGATCTTTGTTTGGTTTTGGAATTAGAACAATTGCCTCAACGTCTGTGGAAGTGAGCGGTTGTTTAAAGCTTCTTTAAGTGTTTCAAATAAAAGTACTTTGATATGCTCCCAGACATGTTTATAAAAGTTGGCTGCGAGGCCATCTGGGCCAGGGGAGCGGTCCGAAGTCAAACATTGCAATGCCTTTTCAAGCTCGTTATACGTGATCTCTGACTCACATGTGATTTGGAAGTCCTCATTTATTTGGGGAATAAAACCTCTGATTTGGTGAAAGAAGGCCTCTGTTGCATCAGCTGAGAATCTAGAAGAATATAATTTGCTGTAAAAGGAATAAACTTCATTGGTTATAGTTTTAGGATCAGAGCATTCATTTTCATTAATGACCAGTGTTTCTGTTATTTCTTTCCTGGCGGGTTTTCTCTAATCTACAGAAATAAGAAGAGTTTCTCTCTCCTTCTTCGATCCACTTTGCTCTGGATCTGATGAAGGCTCCATTTGCTTTTCTTGTATATTTATTATCTAATTTGGTTTGTAGTGTAAGTAGTTTCCTTTTGTCAGTACCTGTAAGTGTGGGTTTGTTACAGCAGAGACTTTTCTCTCTTGTCAAATTGGTCTCTTCTAAAAGGGCAGATTGTTGCAATTGTTTACTCTTATTTTGAAATTTAAGTATTCCCATTTAGAGCTATAAGACAGAAGGTTGGGGTCTTGAGTAATTTCATAAATTATGTCTTTAATCCCTTGGCAATACAGTTGGGACTGTAACAAGCTGGCCTTGAGTTTCCAGTAACCCTTGTTTCGTTTGTGATTATTACTGGGTTTTAAGGTGAGATTAATAAAGCAGTGGTCAGACAGGGGAGCAGAAGATATAAGTTTTTTAAGTTGGGGTGTATAAAGCACCAAGGGTCAGACAGATCATGAGCTACAGAAACTGACTAGATGAGGGTTATAGTGATGGTTATGAAACCTGGAGGGTGAGCGGTCTAACCATTCATTAAATACCATATTGAAGTCTCCTCCTAAGATAATATTAGTTGTTGGATAACTTAATATCAAACTTTTAATGAGACCATCAATTTCAGAGAGATTTTTGTTTTGGTTTGTGTTGTTATAACCGTGGACATTTCCCAGGATAATAAAAGAGTCTTTAGTTGAAAGAACGCAGAGGATCCAGTGACCATCTGTGCTCTTTTTGGATGTCGCTATCTTCCCAGGGAAGTTGTTCAGAAGGACAGCGGTACCTGCAGAACGATTAGTTACATGACAAAATAAAATATTATCCCCATTGATTGGACCAAAATTTTTCATCCGTATCAGTGGAGTGAGTCTCTTGCAGCAGGACACAGTGTGGTTTCTTACTTTTACACAAGAGAAAAACTGCCTTTCGTCTGATACTGTCTCTAAGGCCCCTTGCATTGAACGAAATGAAACAGAAATTAGAAGCAACAGTTAACAGTAGACAATAACCTCCCACTTAGGAATAACAACACGAGGTCTGTCAGCAGGAGAAAAACTGCTTTGGAATGTGAACATAAGGCAACGTCCCCTTGAAAACAGTCAACTTGGAAGTCCTTCGTAGGAATTTAAACAAGTGTCTTCACGTTAGACAGTGAAGAGTTAGTGAAGCGTTGCGAGAGTTTGGCTAAGGAGCCACAATTCTTTTCCCATTTATGTATCCAGATGGGCCCCTGAAGTAGCTGACCTGCTTCTCTGGCCTGCTTAATCTGAGAGAATCTGTTGAGAAACACTAACAGGATTTCTCCAGCTTTAACTCATAAAGGGCAAAAACTTAATAATGTCTTGTTTTATCACCTAGTTAACATTTATTTGTGATGAAATTACAAGTCATCGTCTCCTGACAAATACAACAAGCTCTGAGGCAGCTGCCCTGAACTGCAGTCCATGTAGGCTATTTGAGCCAGAGGCCGACTTTGCAGGAGCTCCTGACACACAGGAAGTCAGCTGACTTCCTGTAACTGGAGAGAGGGAAAAAGTGACACTGAAAACAGGGAGGAAGCTGAAGCAGAAAGAGTTCAGTTAGAGTCCCAGAACTGAAGGCTGAGGCAGGGTGAGTGTTAATCCAACATTTTATTATGTTACTGTCAAAGTCTCTGAGGCAGTTTTCTCCCTGTGGACTGGAGAGGAAAGAAACCTTAGTGGGAAAAACAAAACAAAGTGAGCAGGTCGAGTTCAGGCTGGTTTTATTACACTGTCTGCCTGTGTTACTTTCTATTCTCTTGTGACCGTTGAACAAACCTGTTTCCTGATTCTTGTGCTTCTGAGCTCAGTTTTACTGTTTTACCTCTCAGACTGACTGAAGTCCAGAAGATGATGAAGAGGAAGAGGAGGACAGAGGAAGAGGAGGACGGAGCAGAGTCCTCAGGATCCAGCTGTCTGTCTATGAAGAGTGACTGGTCCAAAAACCGTCCTCCAGACTTCAGTCCTGAACCTGGACCCTCAGACTCAAAGTAAGAGACTGTTTTTACTGTAAACTGACCTGATGGAAGATGATGCATTGAGGATGAAGACAAAATGTTCTGCTAACAGATTTATATTCCTGATGCAGAACTATTAGTGCAGATACTGTTTCAAACTAAGATGGATCTGATTTGATTTCTGGAGCAAAACACCTGAGAACCTCCATTTCAGAATTTACACTTCAAGAACATCTTCATATATTTTTGCCCTCACGTTGACATCACTGTAAAGATTTAGAAGGATTCAGAATCTGAAAGAATCTGCTTCAAATGTGTCCTTCATTTTCTCCTATTTGTCCTCTAAACACTGAGCTGTTTGGCTCTTCCTCAGATCAGCTGTTCTGATCCACCAGATGCATCTTGAATCACTTCAGATCATAATTGTGCAACATGTGGTGAAAAAGCATTTGTAGTTCAGCTTTGCTCACCTTGATGAACACTTTGCTTTGAATCATTAGTAAGTGGAGCTTTGAGCTCAGATTCTCTCCACCATATATTGTTCCTAAAGGTGAAGAACAAACATCCACGGGCAGCACTGATGGAAAAGTTAGCAGTGGAAGGAAAAAGGGCAGAAAATTGGACCACTTCTCTTTTTACAATATTTGAATAGTTTCCATGTGATAGTTGACAGTAGAGAGTGACAGGAAACAGAACGACATCCAAACAAGGCTCCGTGTGGACTTGAACCTGTGACACCGCTGTTACATGCTGTGTGTTTAGACCACTTCTAAGCTCAGTTCAAAGCTAACTAACTCAAGCTAAGCTGCCCAGAGTGACTGTAAAACAGTGAAGGACATAATCAGCTCTCTTTAATGGAGGCTTTTACTGTGAAGGAGCTGCAGGAAGTGTTGAGTTTGTGTTAATAACAAACTGCAGGCAGATCACTAAATGTTTAATCAGACAGTCAGACAGGAAAAGCAGTTAATTAGTGTTTCTGAGAGCAGGAGAGCTGAAATAAAAGGAACAATCATCTTCATTACTGACTGAAAGCTGAATTCAAACAGAAAAGTAACGACACTTTTACTCTGTGACCATCTGAGCTTCTACACAGTGTCGGACACATCTGGAGATTTTTCAACAACAAGCAACAAATCATTTTAGTTCTAAAGAAATGTCTTCACAGAGAGAGGAAGAGGAGTCCTGTTCCTGTGGAGGAGCAGCCGTCCAGCTGTGGACACTGGTTCTGCAGACGGTGCATCACCTCATACTGGGACCAGTCTGCTTCATCGGGACACTCCTCCTGTCCCCAGTGTGGAGACAGATCCAGAACCAGAGCTGGACTGCAGACAGCCAGTCAGAGCAGCTCTGTACAAAGTAAGACTGGACATCTGTCTGCTTCTTCAGATATTCTGATATTGATGGTTTTTATATTAGTAATGAAAATAATCAGCACATATTCTTTGTTTTATCTCACATTGTTTCTCTTCTTTAGTGAGAGGTGGTCTGCAGGAGGTTTTAGATGAACATAAGATCAGTCTGAGGAGGAGATGTGAACGTGTGACTGAAGGAAGTGATGAAACAGGAAGTGGAACCCTCCTCAACAGGATCTACACTGAGCTCTACATCACAGAGGGACAGAGTGAAGAGGTTAATACCCAGCATGAGGTGAGGCAGCTTGAGACAGCTTCCAAGAAGAAGACCCTCCATGACGCTCCAATCAGGTGCCAGGACATCTTTAAAGCCTTACCTGGCCAACAGAGAGCCATCAGAGTGGTTCTGACCAACGGCGTCGCTGGCGTTGGAAAAACCTTCTCGGTGCAGAAGTTCACTCTGGACTGGGCAGAGGGCTCGGAAAACCAAGATGTCGGTCTGCTGGTTCTGCTCTCGTTCAGGGAGCTGAACTTGATCAAAGATGAGCGGCACAGTCTCCTCACGCTGCTCCATGTTTTCCATCCAACATTACAGAAGGTCCCAGCAGAGAAGCTCGCCGTCTGGAAACTGTTGTTCATCTTTGACGGCCTGGATGAAAGCAGACTTTCATTGGATTTCCACAACAGTGAGGTTGTGTCTGATGTCACACAGAAGTCATCAGTCAACCTGCTGCTGACAAACCTCATCGAGGGGAATCTGCTTCCCTCGGCTCTCGTCTGGATAACTTCCCGACCTGCGGCGGCCAATCGGATCCCTCCTTCGTGTGTCGACAGGGTAACAGAAGTACGAGGCTTCACTGACGCCCAGAAGGAGGAGTACTTCAGGAGGAGAGTCAGTGATGAAGAGCTGTCCAGCAGAATCATCTCACACATCAAGACCTCCAGGAGCCTCCACATCATGTGTCTAATCCCAGTCTTCTGCTGGATCACTGCTACAGTTCTGGAGCACATGTTGACTACAGAGCAGAGAGGAGAGCTGCCCAAGACCCTGACTGACCTGTACTCACACTTCCTGCTGGTTCAGATAAAAGAAGAAGCAGAAGTACGATGAGGGACATGAGACGAGTCCACAGGAGCTGACGGAGGCTGACAGGAAGGTTCTTCTGAAGCTGGGGAGGCTGGCGTTTGAACAGCTGGAGAAAGGAAACATCATGTTCTACCAAGAAGACCTGGAGCAGTGTGGTCTTGATGTCACAGAGGCCTCGGTGTACTCAGGAGTTTGTACAGAGATCTTCAAAAGAGAGAGTGTGATCTTCCAGAAAACAGTCTACTGCTTTATTCATCTGAGCGTTCAGGAGTTTCTGGCTGCAGTCTACATGTTCCACTGTTACACCAGCAGGAACTCAGAGGTACTGAAGGACTTCATGAGGGAAGACTGGGGATGATGATGATTACAATTATGATGATGACAGGGACAATGACCATGATCCATCCCTGGATGTCTTCCTGAGGAGAGCCATGCAGAAATCCCTCGACAGTAAAAATGGCCACCTGGACCTGTTTGTTCGCTTCCTTCATGGCCTCTCTCTGGAGTCCAACCAGAGACTCTTAGGAGGCCTGCTGGGTCGGACAGACAACAGTCCAGAAATCATCCAGAGAGCCATCAACAACCTGAAGGAGATGAACAGTAATAAGATCTCTCCTGACAGAAGCATCAACATCTTCCACTGTCTGACGGAGATGAACGACCACTCAGTACATCAGGAGATCCAAGAGTTCCTGAAGTCAGAGAACAGATCAAAGAAGGAACTCTCTGAGATCCACTGCTCAGCTCTGGCCTACATGCTGCAGATGTCAGAGGAGGTTCTGGATGAGTTTGACCTGCAGAAGTACAACACATCATTGGAGGGACGACTGAGACTGATTCCAGCTGTGAGGAACTGCAGAAAGTTTCGGTAAGTCCAGATGTGATTATCAACACTGTAAAGATGAAGCATCAGTATTACAGTAAAGATACACACTTTACACACTCGCTCAATATAAAACCTCCACACTATAAAAGTTTCCTAAACTAGTCTTAAAGCTGCTGATTGAAATAATTCTACATGTGTTAAACTCCAAATGTCTCCAAACATCATTTCTGTGTTTCTATCCATCAAGTTAGTGACACAAGTATCTTCTATCATCTTCTATCTTTCTTTGGGTGATGGAGGCTTGATACAAATCCAGCAGGAAAACTTGAGGATTAAGAGTTTGTGCTGAAAATGTTTTGACAGTCGTCATTTTATCACAGCAGTCTTTTTATTTTTCCACTGATCCAGTGTCTGCACTCTGTTTCTATACTGTGTCTGTTTCTTGTTCTTCTATGCAGACACACAGACATGTCGTATCTGTGACCTGCTGGAGCTAACGGCACTTGAAGGGTTTTCATTATATTCTCTGCAGTTTCTGAGCTATTTCATATGAAGGACTGTTCTGTTTATACAATATCTCTAATTATTGTTTGATTTGAGAGGATGTGAGGGGAGGCCATCCTCCCTCTTGAAGAGAAACAGAACATCCCCCTCTCCATCCTCGTTAAATAAAAGGTGCCACTTTACATAGTTTAGTTCCAACAATGAATGTCTCTTCATGTGTTTTGCTGCATTAGAAATGAGTTTGATTTAGAAACAGTAAGGAAGCTCTCTCTCTGGTAGGATTTGAATGGACAGTCTTTGTGTATTTAGCAGCTGGTTTCCTCAGACAGCAGCTCATTACACAGTCAGCTGCTGGGACGGCCTCCAGGTTCATTCTGCCAGTGAAGGAGAGCTCAGCAGCTTCAGTTCAGTGGAGGGATTTTATCATCACCGAGCTCAGAGAAGAAATGATGCTGTTAAACAGCTGAACTCCACTTGAGAACAACTGTTACCCAGAACATGTTAATAATACAGTCTTCAGTACTAATTATACTATCAATGCAATAGATGTCATTAAATGAATTTAATGGGAGATGAAAAGCAGATGCAGTGACATAATAAGATAAACACACACAAGCACATGACTGAGGTAAATCCATACGAGTGCAGTTCAACCTGCAGTGATTTTACAGCTCAGTGAACATCACGTTAAAATAAAGTTTAACAAACACAAATCACAGCACCTGTTAATCACAATATGACATGTTCACATTACAGTCAGACACTTTTGTCCAAAGCAGTAATACTGTGCTTCATCATGTTGACACTTTGACATGTGGACAGGAGGAGCTCAAGTTTCAAACCACAAACCTTGTGATCAATGGCTGAGCAGCTGAGCTGCAGCCGCTCATGTTAATGTGCTTTGTGATGCAAAATGAACTGTGCCTTTGTTTGTTTTTAGAACAAAGTGTCAGATTTTATTATACTTTAAGTTTTATATTCTGTCATCACAGACTTTCTGACTGTAAACTCTCAGAGATTCACTGTGAAGTCGTGGCCTCAGCTCTGAAGTCCAACCCCTCCCATCTGAGAGAGCTGGACCTGAGTTACAACAGGCTGCAGGATTCAGGAGTGAAGCTGCTGTCTGCTGGACTGGAGAGTCCACACTGTAGTCTGGAGACTCTGAGGTCAGTTCATGTATTTTGCTCTAATCCAAATTTAATCCATAACAGAAGTTTCAAATTTCCTTCAGTTCTCTTGTTTTCTGCGTTTGTCTGAGCACAAATCACAACTCTTTTTTTTTTTTTTGTCAGTCTGTTTCCACATTTAGTCTGAACTCAAACTGGATTCATGTTATTAAGGAAACTGTAGGATTTATCCTCAATGTGCTGTGAAATTAAATCTAATGTTTATCATTTTTGTTACAAGTTAGACACACGTATATATAAAAATTAAAAGAAGTGTAACACATTTTCAAGAATAATGTCCTTTTAGAATACAGTGTTTTATAGGAAGTTATACATATCACCTCAAACACACACACAGAGTGTAAAGCATATTTCCAGATGCAGCTGTTTGAAGTATCGTGTCTGATCTGTTACCGTGATTTTTCAGCTTCCCTCTCATCCTCCTCTCAGTCACTGCCTCCACACTGTCCACTTCCATCCGCACCACCTTTTAAACAGGAGCACGGCAGCCACACCGAATCCACTGAAAAAGCACTTGTAAAGTTACTCACCTGTTTGAATCAGACGAGCCTGTATTGAGCCAAATTTTAGACAACGTCCCGTTCAAAAACCCAAAACCATCTTATTTGGGAGCGACCCTCTCCTCCTGTTCTTTTCTCTCCTGTCTCTTCTTCAAACTACTCGTTGGAATAGCTGACTGCTAGCTTGCACGTGTGCTCTGCTGGTCTACTTGTCAGATTTTGGAGTCTTGTATCGTCGTTATTCGTCTGAAGGTGATCTGAGAACAGTTTGTCCTACAGCCTGTAAGTGAAACAGTCTGAATGTTTACAATCTGCCCGAACACAGCGTGGAGTCAGCTGTGGCCACGGTACATGCTCAGATTAACTTGTGATCCGACAGCTGTATCTACCGTCGCTCACGTCTCAGATCACTCACTCATTTAGCAAACACACACACAGACGGTGGAAGCAGGGGTGTAGAAACTAAAACCAGCTGGGAGTGGTGTAGGCCGAGGCTATACTCGTATCGTTTAATCCTATCTGTTGATCTGGTCCTTGCTAGTGAAGTAAACGGCAAATATAAACTGTTACCATGACAACAGCAGTGCAGAAATAACTTTGAACATGGGGGCAATAAAGAACCACTTAGAAAATGGATGAGTAAGTATTAGGTCACTGCTCCTAACAGAAAACCTGTTCCTCGTGGTGATCATCCTGATATATCGGGCTTGTGTGGGGACAAAAAGTGAACGTGCTGCCGTCCCGACAAAGAGCTCCAGGA